AAAAAAAAAAAAAAAAAAAAAAAAAGAAAAGAAAAAAAGAATTAGGCACCCTCTCTTTGGGAGAAAAATCACAGTGCAAGAAGAGAATATGATTTAACTGTAAAAAGACCTTGAGAAGGTTTTTTTTCTGCCATATATGATGCATGTTAACCCCCCCGCCTTTTTTTTTTGGTACCGGGGATCTAACTTGGGACCTTGAGCTTGCGGAACCACTGAGCTAAATCCCCGGCACTCATGCTAACCATTTTAATGTTTCCCTGAAGTAATAACTAAATTGCCATGGACCCTGCTTCATGGGCATTGTAGAGTTGAGATCGGCAGCTCTCGGTGCCTGGCAGTTTTACCCTACTGGAGGCTGTGAAGGGTGGGTCCTCCCCTCTGCTCATCTTTGAGGGGGTCTCTCAGGAGGCCCATCAAGCTTGGGGTGGGATGTGGCAAACACCTGTACCTGTGTCCCCTAGGAGCAAGTGTGCCGGAACCCCCACCCTCCATCGTTACTGTGCTGAGGGTGGTGTCGGCGCCTGCCTGGTTAGAGCAGGACCCCCCCATGCAGCACGGGGTCTGACGCTGAGACACCAGCTGTGTCGAAAGGACATGATCTTGAACTCTGCTTCATGCTCCCCTGACAGTTTCACTTCCACACACACATATGCACTCACCCACGCTGTCACACACAGCGTCATGCTCTCCTGTGCACTCACACGCACACTCACCTGCCCTTGTTCTTAGGTGGAGCAGCGGGGCGCCCCTGACTGCCAGAGACTGAGCAATTCTCTGTCAGGCCCAGGCCAGATTGGGGTGCCTGTGGCCACTCTGCAGACCAGCCGGCAGCCTCGGGTGGCAGCTCTAGTCCAATTAGCAGAGGGCTTCTGCTGACGGACAGTGTGTGGCCAAGACACTGGGCTGGGAGTCCGTCTGTCTGGCTCGCTCACAAGCGCTGTGGCTTTGTGCAGCCTCTCACATCTCTGAGACTTGAATTCCTCATGCATAGGCACAGCTCCTAGTAGTGCCTATCTCACAGGGTGAGGCGCAGATTTACTGAGCCATGCCTGGAAAATGTGTAGCAGTGGGCCTGGCTTGGAGTAAGAGGCCAATAGTAGTATTCTGAGAGTATCAGTAAGCCAGAGACTCCAGCTGAAGAAGAAACATTTCAGGTTGCCTTTTGTAATTTGTGAAAGTCTTTTTTGGGTGTGTGTTTGTGAGGGGAGTACGTAGTCCCTGTCCGCCCTGAGCAGACTGGTGAGGCAGACCAGCATCAGACTGGCAGCGACTGGGACATAATCCATATATGTCCCGCTGAGCTGATTGCTGGGCTGCTGATTACATCTTGCTAATCAAGCCAGGCTCTGCTTCTGAGGTCTGGTGCTGTGCTGTGTGTAACAGTTCTGTTCTTATTTTACAGCCAGAGCCCAAGCCTGGAGACCTGATTGAGATTTTCCGCCCTTTCTACAGACACTGGGCCATCTACGTTGGCGATGGATATGTGGTCCACCTGGCCCCCCCAAGTAAGGGTACCAGGGCTGGGAAGTGTTACAATAGCCCCAACCTTCCCCTTGCTCTCTGACTGATGGCTTGTTTTTGAGTGGTACAAGAAAGCAATTTTGTGCGAGGTAGTGGTAGTCAAACTGTGCTCCTTGGAGCCCCTTGCTCCTGTGAGAGAGCTCAGGTGTTTTACGTACTATGGTTCTGTACACAACATATTCCCCTCATAAGCATAAGGCTCATAGAAAGAGTACAGGGGCCTGGGCGGACTTGGTTATGAATCCAGTTCCTGCTCTAGCTTTCTCTCTTCTCCCCGCTCCCTTTCCCTACCCCTTCCCTCCTTTCCCAGCTCACCCCTCCCCTTTCTTTCTTTGACACAAAATCTCACTGGGTATCCCAGGCTGGCTTTGAATTTGGAATCTTCCTGCCTGGCCTCCAGAGTGCTGGGATTATAGATGTGTACCACTGCCCAGTTTAGCCTTGGTTTCTTTATTTGTAAAGGAAGGCTAAGAATACTGAATTTGGAGAATTGTTGCGAGAATTTCCTCCCCTTTTCCTTAGACTTTTTATTTACAATTGGAGTATAACCTAAAGTACACAAATATAGTAAAATGTAAGTGAATTTTAAAAATATCTATCCCTGTGACAAGGGCCCAGACCAAGATCCAGAACGTTTCACTCCCCCGGAAGATCCTGCTTGCTGCCTCAGACCCCCATCCCCCACCCCTGCAAACTCATTCCAGCTTCTCTTGCCATGGAAAAGATTGGCCTGTTCTAGAATCTCATGGAAGAGGAGTCACACAGCCAGTGCTCTTTTGTGTCTGACTTCTTTCACTCGACATTCTGTCCACAAGAGTAATTTGTGTTGGGAGTAGCATTGTTCTGAGCTTTTCATTGCTGCGTATTTCCCATGTGACTATACCACAATTCGTTGCCCATTTTTACTGGTTTCAGTTTTGGGCTGCTAAGGATAGAGGTGCTGGCCTCACCTTGTACTTGCAGAGATGTTACAGGTAACCAGGGGCCGGGGATTTAGCTCAGTGGTTCTGCCACCTGTCTGGCAAGTGCAAGGTCCTAATTTTGAGCCCCGGTACCAACAAAACAAAAACAAAGACTTAAGGGTAACCAGAGTAGATGGCACCTTCTCCACCCCTAGTAACAAAACCACCAGGCTTTGCATCCACATAATTTATTTCTTTTTCTGTTAAAATATAAAAAGCATGCCGCCCTGACTTTAAAAACTGGCTCCTAACTTGCAGGCCCAGGACTGGGTCCTGGTACTCCCTTCAGCACACATATACCTCCAGTTCCCTCTCGGCTTTTGTATTGTTACCCTCTCTCTGCTGACTGGAAACACTTGGTAATATCTTCTGTTGATAAAACACCACACCCACAGGCCAGTCTCAGCCCTGTGTGGTCTTCCGGGCAATCATGGGCTCCTCACTTCCCACACTCTCTTCAGCACCTGCTAAGGTTCTCTTTTGTGCTCCTGTCAAGGCTACCAAAACATTTTCTACACCCTGATAAATATTTGGTTCTTTACAGCATTGGATATGAGTGACCCTCTCTGTTTTTCACCTAGCACCTTTCTTCCTCTCTTATTTTAGTCCTTCCTTCTTGGTATCCTGTGTGTTACCCTGCTCCCTTCCCACTTCCTTAAATGGTATCGGTGCCTCAGTGGCTCCTTTGGCTTTGAATACCTTCTGTTTGTCAGTGTCTCCTGAGCCATACCTGCAGCCTCTGGCTTATATGGCTTCTTTAAAAATCTTTAATTTTTGTTTTTACTGGGGTTCAAACTTGGGTCCTTGCATTTGTGAGGCAGGCAGCAGAACCACTGAGCTAAATCCCTGGGCCCCAAAATCTTTAATTTTTATCGATGCATGCTTACAGAACTTAACAGTTGCATTCCTTTTGTGAAGTTGGTATAGGTACATAACACAGCTGAATTTATTTTTCATCTCCTCACATTCCCTTTTCTCTCCTCTCCCTCCATCTCTTGGTTGCCTTCCCCTTTGTGAAAGACTTAACTTCCTATTTTCTATTATCTTTTATTTTGGGTTTCTCATATAAGAGAAACTATGTGCTATTTAAGCTTGTGTGTCTGATTTATTTCATTTAACAGTATGGTCTCAAAGGCTAGGGATTTCTGCCGCCTGCCTCACAAGGGTAAGGACACGAGCTCAATTCCTGGTACCAAAAAAAAAAAAAAAAACCACACACACACACACACACACAAAACCAAAAACCCCAAAACATTATGGTCTCAAGGTACATCCATTTTTCTACAAATGACTCATTTACCCTTCTTTATGGCAGAGTAGTACTCCATTGTATATACATATCACATTTTCTTTATCCATTCATCTATTGATAGACATATGGGCTGCTTCTAAGATTTAGCTATTATGAATTGTGCTGCTGTAACCACAGGTATGCACGTATCCCTGTAATATCTGTCTCCGCTGGCTTTTCTCTTCTGTGTGGAATGAGATTCTCACTGACATAGAAACAACAGTCTCTGTACTGTGGGTAGTAGGGCCTGCATGATATAGCCTCTGCTTGTCTCTGGACCTCAGAGTTTCTTCTTTCATCCGAGGTCTTTAAACGTTAGCCACACTGACCTTGTAGCTGCCTTTTCAGGCTGCACGCTTTCTTCTGAGGTCGGTGCCTTTGCTCTTCTTCCTACTCAGCATGAGCTTTCTTAGCTCTTAGCACAGCTACTTCCTCATCATCCAGGTCTCAATGCAGATGCCCTTTTCTGGCATGGCCTTTCTGCCCTGAGCTCCTAGGTCACTTCCTTTAGTCTTCTGCACGATTTTTCAGTACCCGAAGGCACCTTATTTGTGTATTTGCTCATTGTCGGTGTCCTCTTACCGGAGTGTGAGCTCCTCGAGGTTGGGCCTGCTGTCCTGTTCATACCACTCTCTCCAGCACCTTGGATGTAATAAGGGCTCGGTGCTGACTAACTGCGCAACGCAGGTGTAATTGGTGGAGCCCAGAGACTACAAGTGCCACCAGGGCTTCAGGACCACCCAGCCATGTGTGTGACCCTTTCGTATCTTGCTCATGCTCTGCATGGTCCCAAGGGTGAATGCCCAGCTGGGGGCCACTTCTGAGCCCCTGTGGCCTGTCTGGGGCCAGTTCCTCTGTTTCCTCTTTGTATATCCAAAGGTGAAGTCTCGGGAGCTGGCGCGGACAGCATCAGGTCTGCCCTAACCGACAAGGCTTTCGTGAGGAAGGATCTGCTGTATGACGTGGCCGGGAGTGACAAGTACCAGGTCAACAACAAACATGATGACAAGTACTCGCCGCTGCCTCCCAGCAAAATCATCCAGCGGGCAGAGGAGCTGGTGGGGCAGGAGGTGCTCTATAAGCTGACCAGCGAGAACTGTGAGCACTTTGTGAACGAGTTGCGCTACGGAGTTCCCCGCAGTGACCAGGTTCGTCCCCAGCCTGTCTCCTTCCCCAGGAGCCAGACAACTCCCCTGGCTGACAGTCACAGGGCATCAGTGTGGATGGGGATGGAGGCGTGAACAGAACACAGAGATGTGATCCCTGTGCTCACAGGCTGGGAGACAGGCAAGGTGCCGATGCAGATCAGTGCATTATGCAGGTGATGATCAGGCCTGTTGTTGTGTCCTTCCTGGCCATGCGGTGTCAGATGATCCCAGGCTTTCTTAGTCCCACTTTACAGATGGTGAAACTGAGGCTCTCGGGGCTGATGTGACTTGTCTGTGGCCACTCATTTATTCAACAAATATCTGTCAGGTCTCCAGAGCTGTACCTATCTTTCCCTCGGAGGTGAGTGCGGCTGTGCTCATAAGTGGTGGAGGCAGGATTTGAAGCGCAGGTCTGTCTGATCAGCCCCACTGGTCTAACAAACAGCACTGTCCTCAGCCCTTCTGAAGTCCAAGAGGAAATCCAGGAGACTCCAAAATACAGTTTTGTTTACTTGGTCCTTACTTGTTTTTACTCACACTTCATTGAATTTCTTTGATTACTTCCAGTTCTGTCTCACTTCTCCCTTACCTTTCTGCTATCTCCCCATCTTTTGTTGCAAGTAGGGTGGGAAACATTGGGAGAATTCTTTTTTATAATTTTTAGTTTTTATTTTTTTGGTACTGGGGATTGAACTCAGGAACTTGCGCTTGCCAGGCAGGCCCTGCCGTGGCTGAGCTACATCCCCAGCCCCCCACCGTATTTTTAAATTTTTTAAAAAAAATTTAAAAATTTTTTTTGAGACAGAGTCTCACTATGTAGTTGAGACTGACCTGGAAGTCACTATGTAGCCCAGGCTGGTCTCAAACTCACAGCGATCCTCCTGCCTCAGACTCCCAAGTGCTGAGATAACAGGCATGCGCCTCCACACCCGGCTCCCAATTGTTTTTTTCAGCTTTAATTGAGTTTACTGGTACATTTTAGGGATACAGTACAGTTACATTCATTGTTGGGATCTTGTACTGCTACATGACAAGTCTTGATTCTCATTTTTTCCCCTTACCCCTGCCCTCCCTTCACCCCTCCTCCCCTCCCCATCTACAAACACTTTATTTTCATCTTTTCATTATCTCACATTTTTTTCTTTTCCCTTATTACCCTTCCCCCACCCATCCCACCTTCCCTACACCTTTAGCTCCTTTCTCCCCATTTCTAAATGTCAGTAATCTTATTAGGATCCTATGTATTATTGTAGATTATTCACACCAGGGAAACTATTCGGTACCAATTTTTTTTTAAAGATGAATTCTTTCCATGTTGCCTAGGCTAGCCTCAAACCAGAAATCCTCCTACCCTACCCTCCAGAGTAGTTGGATTATAGGATGTGGACCATCATGCCCAGCTTTACATAGCTGTTGAAAAGAATATTTTTTTTTCTTTCAGTGAATGATGAGGTTAGGATCTGTCACATTGTTAATTTTTAATTTTTAGTTTTTGAGATCCAGTCTCTTTTTTCCTTGGCTACTGTGGTCAATATCGTGGGCTCTTGGAGTTAGGCAGAACTGACTGGGCCTGGGCCCCGTATTTTGCCAGCCATATGACCTTGGGAGATTTAGTCTTTGTCCTCAAGCTTGGTCACGTACAAATGATAGCTAATCTTGGAGGGTTTCCATGTGAAACTTTAGGACAAATAGTCCGTCAAAGCAAGACCAGTTCAGTACAGAGCTGACTCAGAAAATGAGCTTGATAAGTTAGAGTAGAAATACTCATGCTTGTCCTTATCTTGTTCTTTTTGCCTGGTTCACCCAGTGCATTTTCCACTGACCTCTCTGGGCCACAGTGACTTGGACAGGGAGGCTTTTGCCAACACCACGTGCAGGGATCAGCCTCAGTTTCCCTTATACTGCTGACAATCATCTGTACTTACTCCACTGACCCCTATTTTGGTTAGTCGGTTCTGCTTTCTCTCTATGATGAGATATTAGACCTCATTCTTATGGCTATCTTCTTATTTTTCCTCAATCAATTGGATTATTAGTGTTCATCAGTTATTTATATATAAGGCTTAAAGGGATTTTTTGAGTAGTACATATCTAACCAGGCAAGGAAGGCACAATATTGGCAGTGGTTGGTGAAGACTCCTGGAATCTCTGGGTCATCATCTGGCTATAGCTTCCCTGAGAAGTGACAAAAGCTCCCTTTTAGGAAAGTCAGAGGACAGCACCATTAGAAGAACTTAATTAGTACCTGGACACTGCATGTTAAAAACAATGCAGTGGATCAGGGTATCTGGGGAGGGGTCACCTCAGCAGATAACGGCCTTTGAAAGACTGTCTCCCGACCTGGGGATGTAGCTCAGTGGTAGAGCACTTGCCTAGCACTGAGCCCCTTGGTTCCATTCCCACACCACAAATAAACAAACAAGAAAACCCCCCACAAAACTATTTATCTCCTGAGTCACACTTGATGAGACTTGGCTGTTACTTTACCAGAATCTTAAAGATTCTTTTCCTTTCCTTTCTGTCCTGCATTAATATTTTTATCCTCTGTAGATCACATTTTTCCATTTCTTGGTTCACTCAGTTTGGGACTATTTTCTCTAAAGTTTGCTGAGAAATGGTGTGTTTGAAAAAGACTCCCTAGGCTTGAAAATGTCTTCACTTTACCCTCCTATTTGATATGAGGCTGAGTATAGAATTCTAAATTGGAAAAAAAATATTTTTCAGAATTTTGAAGGCTTTGCTTTAGTGTGTGTGTGTGCACGCACGTGTGTGTGTAAGACAATTTGGAGATGGAATCCAGGGCCTCATACACGCTAGCCAGCACTTGGCTGAGCTACATTCCCACCCTCCTCACTACATTGCCCAGACTGGTGTCAAGCTTGAGATTCTCCTGCCTCCTAAGTAGCTAGAATCACAGTAATTTTCTTTCACAGTATTTGGATTTTGGACCTGTGATGCACGCTGTTGCCCATTTTCACCATCAGAATTCTTATAACATCGGCACAGTGGTTAAACTGGATTTAATACACTGTATAACTAGAAAATTATCAATGGCATCTGAAGGTAGCACCAATCTTGGACAGATTGTTTTTCTCAAAAAGTTTGCACTATCAGGACTAAATAGATGCCACTTTCTTGAATTTAAGCATACTCTTTGTGTACAAAGTCTGACCACAAACAGTGAGGTTATTGTTGGTTTCCAAAGTATCCTTTGTATGAACAGGCTGCGTCAGCATGTGATTTTACCCTGTGAGGTTCTAAGAGAACTAGGGCCATATTATACCTCTTCCATTGTCTGCAGAACATTTCTCCCACCCTGACACAGAGTTGAGCAAGGAAAACAGTAGATACAAGAGAGTTTTGCAGATTCTCTAGCAAGGTAATCCAGCAGAACCACAGCTGCCACAAAACTGTGTCTAATTACATTTTTGAGGAAATTAAAGACTGATTTTCAGTCAAACTTCCAAACAAAGAAGAGCGAAATGAAGAAAGAAACTGTGAGATCCAGAAGATGAGCTTTGTAGAACAGGAGGAAGTAGGAGGGGGTGGGGGCAGGGATCTGTTAACTTTGAGTTTCACTGTGATGTTGTCACAGTGTGGGCTATTGGGGAGTCTCCTGTACTGGTGCCTTTTGTTTCTACTTGGGCCGATTTGATTCCCAAAAGAGTCTTCCAGAGTCTTGCATGGAAGGTGAAGTTCTGGGGGCCATGAGGGACAGGAGGGCTGAGAGTCTCATACTTAGTATGTTCACAGTCTCTCAATTCCTTGTTTACGGTGCGACACAACTTCATGTGTTCCTCTAGATTTCTAGGCCTTCAGATCCTGTTTTACCATCTCCAGCTCTCCAGAGAATGAACTTTCAGGTTTCTGGTGGGGTGAGGGAGGAGGTTCGTGGACCTGGCTAAAGCCCTCTCTCCTGTCCCACTTCCAGGTACCTGGGAGGGGATGGAGGTGAGGGTTCGAGGAACCTTCTGTGTGATCCTTTTAGAGGTTTCTGTTGTTTAACTAGAGTTGGTCCTCAGCTTTTCCCATTGATGCCTCAGGATTCTGTGTCCTTGTAGAATTATGCCTAAAACAAATCTTTTATTTACTTCTTATTTTGGTGGTACCAGGGATTGTACATGCCAGGCAAATACTTACCATTAAGCTACACTTCCAGTCCAAACAAATGTCTTACTTTATTTAGTTGGGTTTTGGTTAGGAATGAAATTTGACATTTGTTCAATTTCTACCTTAAAGTTTGCTCTTACTTTTACAGTACTTTTTTTCTGCTACAAGCGATAGAAGTCAGATACTGCATCCTAATAACTTGAAGTGTGATATCACTACTGTTAATAGTTGAATCATTTATTTAAGGATACAAAGAGAGCACCTTCATGCCTGGCAGGACCAGGCCCTGAGGATACACTGATGTGGTGAGGCCTTTGCTCTCATGGACATCATATTTTTTTTGAGTTGTAAATAATTCCTCCCTGACTTCACACTTGCTTGCAGAGCTCCCATTGGCCAGCTAGGATCTTGACCATCCTGGCACAATCTCTGTTCTTTTCACAGTCACCGTCTGAGGATTTAAATAGGCACAGGGTGAATCAAGTTTCCCATCTTTGGGACCATGTAAATTCCCGGCCAGCTGGCTCTATCCACTGACTCTTACCCCATTGACTCTTCTCCTCTACTCTTTCCTGCCGATAATGGTTGACTTTTGAGTTTGGCCAGGGGAGGCCAAGGGGCATGTGCTAAGTGACCCTGGTGAAGCACAGCCTGTCCTCACATCCCTGACATGAAGGCTGACTCACCCCTTCTCTTTTGCAGGTCAGAGATGTCATCATGGCGGCAGGCATCGCAGGAGTGGGCTTGGCAGCCATGGGCCTCATTGGAGTCATGTTCTCCAGAAACAAGAAACAAAAGCAATAAGCTGAAAAGACTGTTCTCTCAGGAATGACTAAACATTGAGCGGGGGTCTTGTTTTGCTAGAGTTTGGGGTTTGGTTTTTGAAGTTCATTCTGTTTTATAATGAGGTTTATTTTCACGGAATGAAATAAAGCACAATAAGAGGATTTTCTTGGGGAAATGCAATGCAGACTGCCTTGTGTGACATCTGTGGTGGTGGTGGGGACAGCTGGGCTGTGTCCGATGAGGCCCTTCCATGATTTTCTCTTTCTCTTTGCGTGTTATGTTCTTTGCATCACAGAAAACAGAGTTTAACTCCAATGATTTATTTATTTATTTTTATTTTTGAGGCAGGGTCTCACTATGCAGTTGAGACTGACCTGGAACTCACTGTGTAGCCAAAGCTGGTCTCGAACTCACAGTGATCCTGCCTTAGCCTCCCCTGTGCTGGGATTACAGGCCCGCCTAACTCCAGTGATTTTTAACTGCAGGGTGTTTCAGGTTGTTAGGATACAACGTGGAACAGCAAGACAGTCCGGCTAGACACAAACTGCTAACCAGGGCTCTTGGCCTAGGATTTGATCCCTCATGACCTCTGGGCCTCTGGAGCTGGAGTCCATAGGTGTTGAGTGGAGTTAAAGTAAAAATCTGTCCTAGGAAATTTAGTATGTGCTCTCACCAGTCTTCCTAAAACCCCCTTATTTTCCTTTGCTGTCCACCTCTTTCCTCTGCATTGTCTCTTCTACCTCCCTCCTCAGCCCTCTGGCTTCCTCGCTGGTTGTGCTTGCCCGCCCCCAGTTCTCCGAGCCCATGTTCCCACCTGCCCCCCCACCGCCTCAGCTCAGGGTCCCCTTCCCATCCCTATTGGAGTTGAGCATAAGAACTCTAGGCTGATTGGCAAAATACTACTGGATAAATTATGAATCAAAGAAGAAAACAATGGAATTTAGATAATATTTAGAACTAAATAATAACAAAAATAATAGGTATCAGTGTTTCAACCATAGGGCAAAAGAAATGCTCAGAAAAATTTGTAACATAAATCCTTACATTAAGAGAAAAAAGGTACAAATTAATGAGTTTACCATGCAATTTAAGATACTGCATAGAAAGAAAAAATGAAAGGAAGAAAGAAAAAGATGAGCAGAGTTAAATGAAGCAAATACACATGTGAAAGTGTGCACAAGTTAACATTTTAGGAATAAAGAGGGGGCCAAACCTACAGATGCTAAGGAGATCAAACAAACAGCAAATACTGATAAATAACTTCATGACAGAAAACTGGACATTTTTGATGGAGTTGGTAAAGTTTCAAAACAGCAAAATTGAATTAATAAAAAAATCAAAGCCATCCTATAACAATTCAAGGAATTAAATAAGTAGTAAAAATTTTTCATGCAAAGAAATGGCACGCCTGGATGGTTTTATAGGCAAGTTTTACCAAACATTCGAGCAACAGAGATGTGAGACTTAGGGAGAAATTAGTGATGAAGAACTCATAAATAGAAGAGGTATATTATTCATGGATAGAAAGCCTCCTCATAAATATGTCCGTTTTTTTCTCTCAGATTCATCTATAGATTGAATGATTCCAAGCCAAATCCTTTGTAGTCTTTTCTGGAATTGGCATAGATTTTGAAATGTATGTAAAGAAGTAAAGGGGTTTAGTCACTTCACTAACAGGGACCACCAGGGAGGAAGACTTATTCTCTTAAATATGGAGTAAGACTTCTTAGAAATTGTTAATGTGATCAAGATACTACATTTTTTGGCGAAGAAAGTTTAAGTGACCTATGGAATTGAGAAGAATCTTCAAAACAGACCTAGAAGGGATGGAATTTAGCTTAGTGGTGCCACCACCTGCCTCACAAGTGCAGGGTCCCAAGTTCAATCTCCAACACCAAAAAACCAAACCAAAACAACGAAAAAACAGACCTAGAAAATAAACCTTTATTTACAGTAGAGGTAGCACTTACATCAGTGGGAAAGAGTGAACTTTTTAGGGACTGGCAAACACTTATCTTTTTTTGGTACTTGAGGTCGAACTCAGGACCTTGCACTTGTCAGGAAGGTGGAGGCACCCCTGAGCTAAATCCCTGGCCTTGGCAAACGTTTTTGTAAGGAATAAACAATATTTTAAGCTGTATGGACCTCTGTGTCTGGTAGAATTACTCAACTCTGCTGGGGTTGTGTGAAAGTAGCCACAGACAATAATTGAATAAGTGATCATGACGGTGTCCTAATAAACCCTTATATACTCCGAGCCGGGCATGGTGGCGCAAGCCTGTAATCAGCTCTCGAGAGGCGGAGGCAGGAGGATCGCTGTGAGTTCGAGACCAGCCTGGGCTACATAGTGAGTGCCAGGTCAGTCTCAACTACATAGTGAGACCCTGTCTCAAAAAACAACCAAAAACCTTATGTACTCAACAGCCTGGGACATAGTGAGTGCCAGGTCAGTCTCAACTACATAGTGAGACCCTGTCTCAAAAAACAACCAAAAACCTTATGTACTCTGAATTTTACATAATTTTCATGGGTCATGAATTATTAATTTCCCTTTTATGTTTTCAGTCACTTAAAATGCAAGAATCATTTCTAGCTAGTAGGCTTTATAAAAACCAAGTGGAGAACTAGATTTGACTTATAGGCTATAGTTGGTTGATTTCCAATCAAAAAATAATATTCAGGGGCCAGGAATTTAGCTCAGTGGAGGATTATATGAAAGGCAAAAATGTAAAATTTTTGGAAGCAAATACAAGCGGGCATTGGTGTGATCTTGCTGTAGTTCATAAACACACAGAAAAGACAAAAAGTAAAGAGGTAAATTTGATTACATCAGATATGAACATCTGGTGTCAGAACGGCATAAAGCAAATGAAAAGGCAGGCGGCCCTGAGGAAGCTGTATGTATCTCAGCTGTTAAGAACAACTCAGGAGTCCTGGGTTGTTTTATCTGCGCATCTGAACAACAGACTGTACATTGGGGTTCCCGCGATCTTCCTTCAGCTTTGATTAATTTGCTCACCTTGCTCATAGAACTCAGGAAAACATGTTTGCTGGTTTATTATAGAGGAAATTACAAAGGATATGGGTGGAGAGATGCACAGGGCAAGGTGTGTGGGAAGGGGCTTGAGCTCCCAGACCTTCTCTGCCCACCCCATCTCCGCGTGTTCAACTATGCTCTCTGAATTCTGCTCTTTTGGGTTTTCATGGAGACCTTGTTGCACAAGCATGATTGCCAATCGACTAGGTGGGAAAACTCAGCAAGTTTTGTCTGTTCAGATTCTTTTGGGGCTGTGCAATACCCTTCCGTACGGGGAATGGGCAACCCCACTGGAATACAGAGGGTATTACGACCTACTGTCAGATGAGGTAGGTCAGAGCTATGAGCCAGGAACCATAGATGAAAAGCAGAAACTACGTACCGTGATATAACCTGGCCACTCTGGGTTGTAACCCTTTTGTGAGTGACACAGCTTCAGTTTAGTGGAACATGATCAAAATCTCAAAAATGCAATAAATGATTGTGAGCAGAATTTATCAGTATGCATCTCATTTAGTATGGATAAGTTTTTATAAGGCTTTTGTTTTATTTATGTACTTCTATATACATACCCAGGATGCCTTGTAAAATCAATTTCTTGTTATTTCAGTCAAAACAATTTTAAAGTATCTGCTTAGAGAAGAGCCAGTGCGGGTACACTAGGAGACTTGTGGGTACTCAGGGTACTCTCATCAGTAATGGTGACACCCCAAGAACAACACCCCAATGTCAGTTGACAAGGGACAGGATAAGGAAACTGTGCTACACTCTACAGATTGACCACAACCACAACTCATCAATCTAGGTTAGGAACATGATCTTGGGTAAAAATATCAAGTTGTAGAATACATGATGTTTGCTTTCATTTTTACAAACTTCCAAAATACCAAGTCAGTATATTAGGAATTACACTTGTTGGTTGTTGAGGAATATATTTACTAAAAATTCAAAAAAGTATAATAGACAAAATTCAGGAGAGTGACAGGTGTGTTAGGAGGGAGGTGAACAGGAGGTTAGTGGTTTTTGGTAGCCTTTTGATTTATAATTCACATATCATATAGTTATTAAAAAGGTTATGAGGCGCTTACCAAAAGCTTTTTTTTTGGTACTGGGGATCAAACTTGGATCGTTGCACTTGTGAGCAGGCGGCAGAACCACTGAGCTAAATCCCTGGCCCCAAAATCTATTTTTTAAGCAAAACATTTATTGGTACATTTTGGAAATACGTGATGATAACACAGCATGGGGAATTTATACCTCGACACGATGTATCTTGCTTCTTATTTTTCCCATTCCTTTCCCTTCCAACTCTCCTCCTCCTTATGCTCAAAAGCTTTGTTTCCATTTTTCCTTCTATTTTCTCTTTTTTTCTTGTCCTTTCTTTCCTTTTTCCCTCCCCACTCCCTTGTTCCCCTTCTCTCTTGAACATTTTCTTCCCGTTTCCCAATATCTATTATATATTTCAGTTCTTATGTCTGCTTTTGGTTTCTCACACCAGAGAAGCAATGTGGTATTTAAATAAGTGTATCCAATTTATTTCATTTAAGACTTTGGTCTTAAGTGCATCCGTTTATATAGAAATGTCTCAAGCTCATCCTTCTTTATGGCAGAGTTAATTGTGTTAAAAAACCCACATCTTTATCCATTTGTTGGTTGATGGGCATTGGGCAATTACAAACTGTGCTACTAGAAACAAGGGTGTGCATATATAGTAGTAGTCTGATGCTCTTAATTCTTTCTGGAAGATAATCAAGAAGGGGAATAGCTGAGTGGAATGCAACCTCAAGTTTTATTTTTTGAGGGATCTTCCACACTGATTTCCACAGTGGTTGTACCAGTCTACACTTCTACCAACAATAAAGAAGGGTTCCTTTTTTTGCCACAGCTCCTCCAGCATTTGTTATTTGTCTATTTCTTTCTTTTTTGGGGGGGAGGTTGAGACAGGGTCTCACTATGTAGTTGAGACTGACCTGGAACTCACTATGTAGCCCAGGCTGATCTCGAACTCGCAGCAATCCTCCTGCCTCAGCCTCCCAAGTGCTGGGTCAATTTCTTGATAGCAGCCATTCTTTCTGGAGTGAGATTAAATCTCAGCATTGTTTCAATTTGCATCTCTTGAATGACCAGTGATTTTTTTTTTCAT